CTTCAGGAGAAGCAGGAGCAGGAGCTGACTGAGCTGCAGAGGAAAGATGCTGAGCTGGAGCAGCTCTCACTCACAGAGGATCACAGGCAGTTTGTCCACAATTACCCCTCAGTGTCAGCACTCAGTGAGTGTCCACACTCGTCCACCGTCAAGACTCGTCCTCTCAGGTACTTTGAGGACGTGACAGCAGCTGTGGAGGAGCTCAGAGACAAACTGCAGGACGTCCTGAGGGACACCTGGACAAACATCTTACTGAGCGTCTCTGAGGTGGACGTCTTACTGTCAGAACCACAGAGCAGAGAWGACTTCTTMAAATATTCAAAGGAAATCACTCTGGATCCAAACACAGCAAACACACATCTGCTGTTGTCCGATGGGAACAGAAAAGCAACRTTMMWGTATCMAGAACAGTCTTATCCTGATCATCCAGACAGATTCACTGACTGTATTCAGGTTCTGAGCAGAGAGAGTCTGAGAGGACGTTGTTACTGGGAGGTGGAGAGGAGCGGGAGAGGAGTTGTTGTAGCTGTTTCATACAAGGAGATCAGCAGAACAGGAAGTTCAGATGAATGTGGATTTAGTTTCAACAACAAATCCTGGGCTTTACTATGCAACTCAGACAGTTATACATTTTGGTACAACAACTCCAGTACTCCAGTCTCAGGTCCTGGTTCCTCYAGGATCGGGATGTACCTGGACCACRGAGCAGGTGTTCTGTCCTTCTACAGCGTCTCTGAAACCATGACCCTCCTCCACAGAGTCCAGACCACCTTCACTCAGCCGCTCCACGCTGGAGTTGGGTTATTTTATTCTAATGGAGTCTCAGCTGAGTTCATCAAACTGAAATAGTTTGAATCYACCTGAAGTCCTGTTGTCAGAATCTGTTCTCTGATTGTTGATCATCTGTCTGCTGCTCACAGATTATTCTAAACAAACAGGGATTAAAAAACAACTTCCTGTTAAAATAACCTAAAACTCACTTTCAGAAATCTTTCTGTAAAATGATGCAAATTAAAATGTTCATTTAGATATTTTAAATTTTAATGTGTTTTTGTCAGTAATTACTCTGTCAAACGTGCAGAAAAGAAAAGATCTTTTTAATTCAGAAAAAAATTAAACTTATCTTTAAAAATTTGCTAAAAATCACAGAATTCCGTTTTAAAATGTTCAGAAATGATTTGACTTGAGAAAAAGCTCCACTGTAAATATTTAAGACAAACTTTATTTGCTAAAGTTTAGATTACTTTTATTGTTTGTTCATTTAGTTTTATTACTTGTATGATTCTGTCTTTATAAATGTTTATAAATTCCAACCCAGAGATTTATGGTTTTTAATGTTTTATGTTCTTCTGTATGAAATAAAGGTTATAAAGTTTGATTTCTGATCTGCTGGAACAGTTTAATTAACAGATCTGTGTTCAATCATTCATTATAAAATCTGTTGTTTATTCTTTAAATCTGTTTTTATTGCAACAAAACTGCTCCTATTTTTCATCTTTAACCAAGTTTCTGATTGTTTTTTGTTCTTTGATGTTTTTGTTTTTTTATGTTTTTATAAAAATTGTGTTTACATTTGAAATAAAACTTGGGAAATAAAACTGACTCAAATAATATCAGTGTGTTTATAAAGTCARTGTTAAATAAGTTTTATTTCATCCGACYYCTTTTCAGACATGTTTATGGGATTTATGTGTTTCATGTGAGTGCATGTGTATAAATAGTTTGGGTGTATATTTATTTTATAGGTTTATTTCTTTTCAGTACGTTTAGTTAAAATATTTTCATCTACTTATATTAGATTATTTTATAAGAGGTTCTAAGTGTCTAAAAATGTGTGGACATGTGTAGGAGTAGATATATACTGTTTGTACACAACAATAAGTCAGTATAGTTTACAGATTCATACTGTTAACCTTGACATGCTTCATGAAATGAATTTGACATGTCTGGAATCAATCCATCAATCAGTTTTTATCCATTAATATTGACACCTAAATAATCACAACTCATAGTGCTACAATAATTGATAAAGTTTTTAATATTGTAACAAACGGACAGGTAACTGGTGGTATTTTGATGACTGATTTAAGTGATCATTCAYCAGTTTTCACAATTTATAAAAATGATCAAGCAATGCAAAATTAGAAACAGCTAGGAAGAAAAGAAACATAAAAAAGCTGTAGATAAGTTAAAAGTGTATTAAATAAACAGAACTAGGATGTATATGTTGATGATGTAAACAGAACAGATGACGTATTTATGAAGATTTTAGGAGCTCTGCATGAAAAGAATTATGTGCAAAAAATATATACAAATAGAAATATTGATATTGTTGATAAACCTTTTCATTCAGAACTTTCCCTTTATTTTTTAATATTGTGTAGAAATTTTGTGTTTTTTTAATTGAAATGAATAAAAATGCAGGTGGTCCTGTGCCTGTCTGTCTGAATCACAGGAAGGATTTGATTCAAACCTTCAGGAAGTTGTGAGAAGCTGCTGAGATTCAAACWGATCTGTTTTGTTTCTTCCTCTTCAGTGATGTCATCGGACACTTCCACCAACCCCCTCCTCCAGCAGCAGCCCCCTCCCCAGCAGACGGCCCCCCTCCTGCCCGGTTCCTCGGCCCCGGCAGGAGATCTGGTTCCCCCCGTCGGCCCGGTCCCGGGAGCCCCCTCGTCTTCCTCCTCCTCCGCCGCCGCCGCCTCTGAGGAGGTCCAGGCAGGAAGCAGTCGGAGCATCCCCACGGCCTGCGTCCGGCCCACCCACCCCCTCCGCAGCTTCACCAACCCTCTGCTGCCCCCGCCCATGGGAACCATCGACCCCAAGGTCTACACCTCCATGATGCTGCAGTCCAGTGAGTCCAGYTCTTCAGCTGTCAGACAAAGTTCATGTTTAAACATTTAACTTTATTTTACGTCACTTTTATTT